ATATCAAGCATTCATGAATTCCACAAAAACTAAGGTGTTAAAATCCCTACTTTGAAAAGCATTTTGAGTGGTTTCTTTTCCACTCACCAAAAATGATTTTGGATAAACATGATCCACAATGAAGGCCGTGGGTCATTTTGACCCCAGGGCAACAGGGTGGTTAAAATACCCAGAGTTGTGTTGGTGAGATCTAATATTTTCAAGGGAAATGCATTAATGGTGCTGAACAAACATAAATAAAAATTCCACAGGAAACATTTCTATTTATTTTTTTAATAAATGGTAAAATGGTAAATGGGCTGTACTTATGTAGTGCCTTTCTATCCAACCAAGTGCTTTACAACACAATATGTGCCCTCATTTACTCATTCATACACACATTCATGCATCGCTCTACTACAGTATATCTCTCTACAAAGCTACTTTGGATAAATCATTATATAGACACCAATCAGTGCTTTAGATCCCATTCATACACTGATGGTACACACATCAGAGGCAATGAAGAGTCCAGTGTCTTGACCAGAGACACTTTGACATGTGACTGAATAGTGGTGGAGTCGAACCTTCAATAATTGAAGGACAGCTGCTCTAACCTCTTAGCCACTTTGTTTATGCTTGACCTGCAGCGTAAACAAAATCCTGCCACTGAAATGAAGAAGCCATTGGATGAACTGAATTTCTTTTAGCCTGTTATAATACACACAATAAAGTTTTACTTGGCAGTTTTTTTTTCCTTTATTTCTCGCTGCAGACAGCATCCCTATGATGTGGGTGGGATCAGTTGTTTATCATCACAGCAAGTGTGAAATGTTGCTTAAAAAGACACTCAACCTCCTTCTGTGTGTTTGTTACTTTATGTTGATTTAGAAAACACTTTTATCCAGGGCAGCGTGCAAGTAAAGTGGAGTGCAGAGGAGTAAATCGACTATTGCACTGTGCTGCTGTACTGTGCAGCAGGGTTTAAGTATGACCTGTTTTAAATGGGATTTGGGAATGTTTACAATGACTGAAAATAATTAAATAAAGACGGTACATCAAAAAAAGTGCTCCAATACACTGTATAAACTTTCCACGTGAAAAAAAAACAACTGTTGTGAATTAAATTGTGTGAATCGCTATGTAAAACAGAAAAAAAATAATTACACACATACTTCTGCAGAGATACTGTTTTCCTTACTCACATGTGATGAATTTTTCTCACCAATTATCAGACTACTATGTTTCAACACCATTCTCTGGTTCCAGGTTGACTCACTTTACACCTGAAGCTAAGGTAGCAACACAGAGGTATCAGATAATGTAGTACAAGCTACAATGCTGGGGATACAGCGTGCATTGCACCACATAGGTGGGCAATTATTTTCCTAAAGGGCTTTGAACTCAGTTCTGCTAAATATAAATGTTGTTATAATGTATAAATATATTTTTCATTAGCTGCTAGAGGTTGAAGTAGACTTTCCAACTGGGCAATATGAACAAAAAAATGTGTTTATGTATAAGCCCAAATAAAACCATCATCTGAGCATGCATTCTCAAACGTGCAAACTCAATGCATCTGATTCATCTTAAGACCTTTTTGATAAATTCAGCATCAGAAAATCTTATTTTTATGAAACATTGCATAGCAAGGCTTGACTGCTCCATCCCTGGATGTGCACAGGTTGGTTTAGAGAACTCATTGTTTTTGAAGATTGATTTGCAAAGCTTCTAGTGCTTTGACTAAACATGTAACTTTGAGTTTCATTGCCTGGAACAATTTGTGCTACACAAACTGTAATTTGTCCAGGTCTGCTGAACCAGGTCATGGGAAAATATTGCAGGCTGCCAGAATCAAAATTTAAAAATGTTCTTCTACAGAAAATAAAATAAAATAAATAAATAACGACTCCATGGGGTACTGCCTTGAAACATGCTTAACTTTTCAAATCACTGTTTTTTTTCTTTTTACCTCTTACCACTATTTATCACCAGTTGGGGTCACCCGTGTTGATTTAACCAAGATGTTTCAAAACCAAGGAACTGTATTCACTTGCTGCTGTTCAAAAATAATTGAATTAAAAAAAACATACAACACTTTTGACTTTTCCATTAGATTTCCCCAAATTATTTTTGTCAAGCTGAGTGAGCATTCATACTGAAAAATAAACTACAGACATGGAAAGTTGTTAGACTCATATTATTTTTGAATGTGATCTTTTTAGTTGGATTGGAAATTTAGGGTTGTTTTTAAGACATACTTTGCTCTTAGCCATCCCCTGCAAGTAAAGCTTCCCAAAAAGATTATGATGCTGGATTAAAACTTGGACTCAAAAATTAACGTTCTTTTTTTTTTGTCCAGTGAATGTGCTAGCAATTATAGATAAGAGTTTCACTGCATCAATACTAAATATTGATTTCTGAAAGTCACTACTACCAATCACCGAAGCACAATAAAAATGTGGAATACACATATATAT